TTAATTCCCTACCACTTTGTTTGTAACTCTATATTGTCTGTATTGTGCTTGTGATATGTTGTAAAATGTTGTATGTCTGTTAATGTTTCCCTCCTTTCATCTTTAAAATAAAAAAAAATAAAGTAAAAAAAAAATTAAAAAAAAATTCTCCAAGAGTGCCTTTGGAGGAACTGTACAATCATCTCTTCTGGATCTATTCTAGAGTTCTTCCAAAATGCTCCATCAGCTCCCTCAGGTCGTGTCTGCTGGCCAACACGGCAGATCTGGATTTGTCAATCTGTGTAATTGAATGAATCAATTAAAATCAGTTCCTAAAAATCTCTCTCTCTCTCTCTCTCTTTCACTTTCTCTTAATATATATGCTGTTTCTGGGGAACCCTGATTAAGATAGCTATTAGAAAAACATACAGGAATCAAGAGGTGCACAGCAAAAGCAAACAATGAATTTGAAAGGGAAAGTTCAAAAATTGTACTATAAGATTTAAAGGATATGATACATAAGAGTTACAGTGAATGAATAATAAAATGGCATAAGTAACTACTTTTGATCATTAATTGCTCGATCTGAAAGTACATCAAACTCTCCAATAATGATAGAAAGTGGAGAATAGTGAAACATGATTAAGCCATATTCTGTGCCAAAGCCATACTGACATTCAAACAGATAGTGTAAAAGTGAAAGATGGAAATATTAGCATTCCGTGCTACTGATAACTGAAAAGTTGTTATTAGACAAAACAGATTGTGAATTTAAAATCATTAGAAAAGAAAATAAAGACAGAAGGATGATAGGAGGATCAGCTAGGAGGATGAGATATTGAAGAGAATATAATTAAACACAGTCATCCAATAATGGTTCCAAAATATATGAAGCAATTGCTAACAAAATTAAAGGGACAAATAGACAGTTTGACAATAATAGATGAGGGCTTCTGTACCTCACTTTCATATTGAATGGAATGGCTAGGAAGAAGATAAAAAGAAGCAGAGGTTATAAACAACACTGTCATCGAGTAAGTCTTAATAGACACCACTGAGCACCTTGTCCAAGAACTGTGGAAGGCTCTTTTGCTTCTGAAATATCCCCTATGATAAACTACATTCTAGACCATGAATTGAGTCTCAGTGAACTTACAAAGATTAAAATAAAAAGCTTTACTAATTGCACTATAATTAAATTATAACTCAAAAATAGGGAAAATTTGAATATTCTCAGCATTGAAATAACACTAAAATCAAAGGACAAAAGATAAATAAAAAGATTGCAAATTTTTTAAAGACAAAAATAAAACAATATTATAAATTTATAGTGGGTAGAAAAAGTACTCATAGGAAATTTATAAATGTAAGTGCAAATATTAAAAATAGGAAAGATCTCAACAGATAACCTAATTTTAAACTTTAAACAATATTAAGCCGGACATGGTGGCACACACCTGTAATCCCAGCACTCGAAAGGCTGAGGCAGGTGAGTCGTTGTGAGTTCGAGACCAACCTGGGCTACAAAGTGAGCTCAAGGCTGTCCTGAACTGCATAGTGAGACCTTGTCTCAAAAAGACCAAAAATAAATGAATAAATAAAAATAATAAAGCCTCCAGGCATTAAATATTAAAAGTGAAAACTTAAACTAGAAGTAGCAGCAGAAGGAAAAAAAAATAAAGCAAAACAAGTAAAATATTGAAAAATCAGTATGATCAATAAACTTAAGGTTGACGTTCTGGAAATATTACCCTAAACTAGAAGAAAGAAGAAGGAAAGAAAGAAAGAAAGAAAGAAAGAAAGAAAGAAAGAAAGAAAGAAAGAAAGAAAGAAAGAAAAAAGAAAGAAAGAAAGAAAGAAAGAAAGAAAGAAAGAAAGAAAGAAAGAAAGAAAACTCAAATTACTAAAATCACAAATGAAAATGAAGGTATAACTATTTGAGAAGGGATATAAGAAAATATTAAAAATATGCCTACATATTCTATATTATATACAAAATACAAATTTTGGGAAAACCAAATACTAATAAAGCTGACACAAGAGAAAGAGAAACTCTGATTATACCTATAACAAGTATAGAGATCAAATTAATAATCATAAAAACTTCCCAAGGAAAAAAGTCCAGAAGCAAATGGTTTCCCTTGTGAATGCTTTGAAACAGTTATAATGCATGACTAGGACAGAGAAGAAACCATAGCGGTGTTTTTGTTAGTTTCTTATGGTTCTTGTGACAAATTCCCACAAATTTGGAAGTTTACAAATTGTTAAAGTCATGGTTTGCAAGGGAATGGATTTCATATAGGACAGATAATTTATAGGATTATTTTATAATATTCACCCAAAAAGTCAAGTGCAGAAGAATGCAGGAGATCTGTCCATACATTAGAGACCCAAAGAATCCAGCTGAGGGCCTGAATCTCATATCAATGTCCTGCACAAGTCCAGCTGAAGACCTAAACCCGTGGCAATGACCTCTATGAGTCCACCTGGAGGTGCAGAGCCCACAACAATATCTCATGCAAGTGTGTATCAAAGATCTGCACTGGGAAGGACCAAAGGTCAGTGATGGAAGCTAGAAAATCGTGCTGGTGGGGTGAAGGATCTGTGCCAGCAGCTGAGGTATCTGCACTGGAGCCAGGAAGCCATGCTCAAGCTGAGGACCAGAGCTTCTCTGAAGAGAAGCACAACCATCCTTAGTGACAATGAGGACCTGAGTTCCTCTGGTGATGAGAACAGCTGAGTTCATATCAGGAAAGCCAGCATGGCAAGCTTCTCCAGGAGAATCAGCAGCACACCATCTTCCCCTCCAGTTCTCCTTTCATGTTGTTGGCAACAATCCCCAGGTGGGCCTCCATGCCTGGCACCACCCTGATTCAGTTTAGCTGGTTGTACCAAGTTGACCATTAGTTCATCAACCACACAAATATATGTTTGTGGTACATAATAATTACTATCATCTTGAGGCATTGATATACATATAAATCACAATGTTTACTTCTCCTTTACCTTCCCCTCCCCATCTTCTTCCACCATGTCAGATTGCTTTACAGTGTGGAAACAAGAAATCTGAAATAAGTCTCTCTGAGTGGACATCAATGGTCTGTCAGAGGCAGGGCTCCTTCACGGAGTCTAGGGGACACTGATGCCAGCTCTTCTTTAGTGTGTGGTTAAATTCTTCTCACTTCATAGAGATAAATTCAACAGCCTTTAGGCCACTGAAGTATAATCCCAGTGATCGCTTACCCTTGGGATTCTTAACCTAACATTGTTGAAAGGTTTCAGAAATTAGTACATGAATCTTTTGGGTCCATTACTGAGCCTGCTGAAGTGTCATGCATCAAACTATTCATTATCTTTGGAAATATTCCATAAATATAAAATAATTCTAAAACTAAGTAACCACGGTCCAATCCCAAGGTGGAGAGTGATTACTTTATAAATGTCATCAGGGAAGGATTCTCTGACACAGTACAATGTGTGCAGAGACTTCAGTGGAGAGACAACCTGTGGACTGGGAAAGGCAGGGGCAAAGGCCCTGAGACTTGGACACGGTATTGTAAGGAAATGGGAGGGGATGAATGAGGTAAAACACTGGAGGTGTAACACTAAGGAATTTAACTCAATTCAAAATTTATGGTCAGCATTAGTAATTTCAAAATATTTGCCAAAACACGTAACATCTTGAAATAATAAAAAGAAAAGCCTAAGGATTATTTTGCCTTCAGAACAATCTTTGTGAATGCACTCTTCACCTCCTTGTTCCTCAGGCTGTAGACCATGGGGTTCAGCATGGGGATGACGATGGTGTAGAACACAGAGGCGATTTGGTCAGTGTCCATGGAGTGACCGGAGCTGGGCTGCAGGTACATGAAGATGACCGTCCCGTAGAAGATGGAGACTGTGGTGAGATGGGAGGCACAGGTGGACAGAGCCTTCTGATATCCTGTGCCTGAGCGTAACTTCAGGATAGAGATAAAAATCAGTACGTAGGATATTAAGATAACAACAAGAGCAAAAAAGATATTGAAGGTTGCTACATAAATAAGAACCAGATCGTTAACATGTCTTTTAGAGCAAGAGAGAGCCATGACTGCTGGAATATCACAGAAAAAATGGTGGACCACATTGGAGTTACAGAATAAGAGACTGAACGTGTTCCCAGTGTAGATGGAGGCACTCAGGAAGCCACAAGCATAGCAGCCTATGACGAGACCTGCACACACCCCTGCTGTAACGGTGGTGGGATAATGCAGGGGCTTACACACTGCTGCACACCGGTCATAGGCCATGGAGGCCAAGAGGTAATTTTCCACAGTAGCGAAGCCTGTGACAAAGAACATCTGAGTGGCACAAGCATTGTAGGAGATGACTTCGTCTGCTACTTTAAAGCTGGCCCACGCTGTGGGAGTGACAGCTGAAGAGTAACAGAAATCCACCAGAGACAGGTTACCGAGGAAGAAGTACATGGGGGTGTGCAGACGAGCATCCAGCAGGATCAGCAGGATCATCCCCAGGTTCCCAAGCACGGTGATGGTGTAGACGAGGAGGAAGGTCATGAAGAGGGGAAGCTGCAGGCGTGGGTCATCAGTCAGCCCCAGCAGGAGGAACTCCGTCACCTCTGTCCTGTTCTCCATCAGTGTTGTCTGAGAATCTCTAGATATTGCATAGACTTATCAAAAAAAGGAGCAAAAGGATAAAGAGCTTCAGTTGGAATTGGAAAATATGATTTGTAGTGATAATTTGTACTGCAAGATTCTTCACAAAAGGAATCAGCTGGAAAACCAGACTTGCTGGCACATGCTGCTGAGTATGAGCAGTGTTAATGGATCAAGTACTGAATTTTAACATTATATATATTTGTCTACTGACTTGAAGGAAAAAATGAAAAGGACTGGTGCACGTGGGTCTATCTTGCGTCTCACGCGCACACCCGTGTTGCTCACTGCAGGAACCGCTGCAGACCCTTGAGGTGTGTGCTCTGTATCTCCACTCAGTCACACAATGAGCTCGACTCATTCTTACATCCATGTAAATTATGAAGCACAAGAGATTGAGAACTCTATTCCTGTTCACATAAGTGTTATCTGTCAGTCTCTGCTCTGAGCCCAGGCCACAGTCCAAGCCATGCTGAGTCATTTCTAATTCTAATGGTCTAAAGTGAATTTAAACCAAATTTAATTTAACTCAATTTATAATTACTCCTTGTGCGCTTTGGTTCAATCTCAGCCTTTGTGATTTCATGATGAACTGAATGATTATTTACTAAACATCTTGTTCACTGTGTGTTTGTCTCCCATTAGAGGTAAAGCAAACAATCAAAAATCTGTGAAACGAAGTGTTCTAAATGAATAAGCTTTAAATTATATATTAACCTTGTCCCACACTCATATGCTTATGTTCACATTTAACAGTGATACAGTTAAGAACATAAAGTGCTAACTAGCTTGAAAAAGATTTGAACTCTGAAATCAATGTAGTGCCACTCATTGTAGTAAGTTGATGAGGTGGGATACGTGGGTTGATGAGAACATGTTGGTTTGCGGAGGCAGCAGTGAATGAGGCATAGCAGACAGAGCTTAGCATCCTAGAGGAGATGCAAGTCAGCCCTACCATTCACCACTGAGGAATCACAGCTCCTAGGAAAACTTGGAACCTCATATTTCCACCTGCATGATGAAGGCAGCAATGAGATCTGCTTTGAGGTATCCTTGTGAGAATTAAATAAGGTCACACACAAGAAACCATGATATCCTGGGCATTCCCAGTCTGATGCATGCTAGCTCTCAAGCTATAGATAGGATGGCATAATGATCTCTATGCTGGTTTGATCTGGGTGGATGCTAATACAGAGGGCTCCCATTGTGGGGGGATTTGTAGTCTTGGGCTTCCTTCACCAATTTTCCTTTCTTCCTGCCCACTGAGGTTTTCTGTGTTCTCCAGTATTTCTCTGTTGGTTCTTGCTTCAAGAACATGATTATTGCTCCTGCAATTCCATATAGGCCATTCATTTTCAAAATTTCCTCCTTGAAATCCATATTTTAATTAGGGAAAAAGACTACGTTCTTGTTAAAACATGTTCTTCCCTTCACTGCTGTTAGGTTGTATTCAAATTACATGCACTGAGGATTAACATTTACCAGGTAGTGAGTTGTTATTCTCTTATAGATCTGTCTGAATGAGAAATTCCCTGTTTTAAAATATGAATTTGAATCTGTTTTGTGCAATAACACTAGTTAACATTTTTTTTTTTAGGGTTGAAACCTTTATAAGTATACCATACAGAACTTACAAATATCCCTTCCTCATTTTCTCCATAGCTATCGACAACTTCAGTTTATGAGGCTGTTGTGAAACCATTACAGTTGCCCATCTTAGGGCACATGATTATGTTTTATCATAGTCTGAATTCTGTAGCAAATCATAGTGGATATACACAGAAATGGGTGTGTATATGTGTGTGAGTGTGTATGTGTTTCAGTAATTTTTTTTTTTTTTTTTGGTTTTTCGCTGGTACCGGGAACCGAACTCATGACCTTGCACTTGCCAGGCAGGCGCTTTGCCGCTGAGCTAAATCCCCAGCCCCTCAGTAATATTATTATTATTACTCTATCAGTAAGGATTCAAGAATTTGAGAAGTGATATAATGCTCTAAAATTATGCAGGTAGTATGTGAAAGACTGGACTCAAGTGTTAAAGCTGCTTTCCAGGAATACACATGTGTGGGTGGTCAAAGGACTGACATGAACTTCAGAGCCTTTGGAAGTGCTTTGTAGTTTAAAAAAAGATTATTTCACTACACTAGATTTTTTCTGTCTACTTTTGACCTCTGATGAGATTCAAATACATACTGAATGAAATAAAATTGCTGTAGAGAGCATTCATCTTATTTTTGCTCACAGTTTTGGGGAAAGAAGGTATTTCATATGAATGAAGTCCCTATACTAGACATTTTGATATTTATGCTCCTGAATCACCTCAGTTTTTAAAAAAATATTGTAAAAATGTCTATTTCTATTTGCAAATAACTTGTAGTAGGTATAGGCAGTCTACTGCTTTTGCATGAATTGTGTTTTTTTTTTTTTAAAAAAAACTCTATGAAATATAAAGGTTTACCAGTTTGATGGAGAAAAAAATAATAGTCCATCTCGAATGAAATGAAAAACTAGAAAAATAATAGTCAATAATAGTCAAAAATAGTAGTCAATGTTGAATAGTCAATGATTTTGAAATCATACAAACATCCATGGAATATTGTATGCATTATATTAAAGAAGCCCCCCACACACACACACATAGTTGTCAAAAAACTCACCTCCTTTCAGGCAAAGAAAAAATGGAGAAAATGATGTTAATATGGATCAAGTTCCAAGTCTACCATTAATTCGTTCTATATCCAAGGAAGAATCACTTACCTCCTCCATAGATGAACAATAAACATCAGGTTGCTTCTCTCACGTAATCCACCAATTATGTCTGTAAACACAAATGAGGTCTGCAAAATATCTCATGATGACAACACAGGCCTGTAATGCCAGCACTCAGAGCCCTACCTGGGCAGTTTAATGCCTTAGCAATATCCTGTCTAAAAAAATAAAATAAAAAATAAAAATGATTAGGAATGTAGCTCAGCGTAGAGGCTCTGGATTCAATCTCCAGCAATACAAAAAAATATTGTGAAGTAGTCACCATTTCAAAATTCATGTATTTTTATGTCAAGTGTTTTCCCTGATCATGGTTGCAGGCTCCTAAGAAAGTCTTAGGACAGAAGAATGCCTGTTTGTGTTAACAATGATTATTACTCAAATGACTAAGTTATTTCCACTGGGCATGGTATACACTCAGTTTCTCTAAAACAGAGTGGTGTTAAGTCATATTAAGACTACAGAGCTGTATACATGGAGGTCTGGAGATAATTACACAGGCTTGAAGACCTCTGGAGGTTTCCTGTGAGACTATCTAAAACTCCTCATCCTCTTTTCCCAGGGCACAAACAATTAAAATGCTTGTAGAAATCAAGTTGGTTATTACACTTTTACAGTTAAATTTACCTTTAGTGCTAAGTAAAAATATAAATGTTCTATATATCAATTAGTTACCACAAGGTGTGTGTATCCAGGTATATATTGCATATGGCTCAAATCAGATAAAATATATCTAGCTCTCAAACACTTATCATTTCTTTATGATGTAAACTGATATATTGCCATTAATATATGCCTCAAAATACAACTTCCTTACCTCAAACACATTTATGTCAACATTGTTGCCACTTTTTAAAACAGTTTTGGAAGACATCTTTAATGTAAATTTTGTTGCTTTATTTGTTTGCCAGTTTTGAGACAGGGCCTTATTCAGTAATTCAGGCTGGACTTGAATTCACTGTGTGCCCCAGGTTGACCTCAAACTCACAGTAATCCTCCTGCCTCAGCCTCTTGAGTGCTGGAATTACAGGTATGCACCACCACACCTAGCCTCTTTAATGTCTTGTGGATGCCTTGGTATTCAGAATCAATTCAAAACTTTACATTTCATAATCATTTAAACTTTGGGGAAGAGCCAGAAGTCATCTGAGTTCCTGTGAGTACAGTGGATGGGGTCATGCCATTATGTTTTTCTGTGACAAAAGTGGTTCTAAACATTTCAGAACAATTTCAGGATATTGAAGCAATCATGACAACACAACTAAAGACACTCATGGAAGAGGACTTCTGCCTACTTCAAGAATCTTTATTCTAATAAGATAGAAAACACAGAAGAAATGGACAGATTCCTAGATACATATGAATTACCAATGCTAAATCAAAAGTACATAAAAATTCTAAATAACCCAATAGCAGTCAGTGAAATTGAAAATGTAATTAAAAACTTACCAATAATGAAAAGCCAAGGTCCTGAAAGATTCACTCCTCAATTCTACAAGAAATTTACAGAAGATCTAATGCTATTGTTCCTCAGACTCTTCAATGAAATTGAAAGGGAAGCAATAGTTCCCAAAGTAATTCTTGTAAGCAAGTATTATCCTAACACCAAAATCAGAGAACAATCCAAGCAAAAAGAAAAATAGAAACCAATCTCCCTAATGAATATAGATGCAAAAATCTTCAGTAAGATACTGGCAATCAGAATGCAGCAAATAATCATGAAAATTTTACACCATGACCAAGTGGGATTCATCCAAGGAATGCAGGGATGGTTCAACATACACAAATCAATAAATGTAATGCAGCATATTAACCAAAGACAAAAGACTATTAGCCAAAGACAAAAATCACATGATCATCTCAATAAATCAGGAAAAGCATTCAACAAACTCCAGCACCCATTCACAATAAAAACTCTGCAGAAAATCAGAATAAATGGTCTTGACCTCAATCTGATAAAAGCCATCTGTGATAAACCAACAGTCACCATTATATCAACTTGTCAAGAACTGAAAGCTTTCACTCTAAAATCAGAAACAAGATAAAGGTGCCCACTGTCACCACTGTTATTTAATATAGTTCTGGAAACATTAGCAAGAACAATTAGACAAGAGGAAAAAAAGGAATAAAGATAGAAAAGGGAGAAGTTAAATTATCATTACTTGCTGATAACATGATACTCTACATAGAAGACCCCAAAAACTCCACCAAAAGA